ATGATACACGACAATTATTATTATACAAGGAAGAGCTTGGAGAGCGACCGCCATAACGGTAAGGTTCCAAAAAACGTCGGCCGGCCATTTCGTATGATCGCACAACAAAAACGCATTCAAAGGCAATCGTTATGATACAGCTAATGTTAATTTCGGCTTTGTAATAAAAACTAGATTTTAAAAAAAAATATTTTTGAAAAATTATAAATATTACTTTGGGGAAAAAACACCGAACTGGTTCATTATGAACCCTGTATGCAAGTTGAAATTTCAAAAACGAATGCCATTTAAGGAAAGCGGGTTTTTCCTAACACCATATTAACTTCAATGCGTATCGTCTATTGTTTTTAAACCGAAATGTTTACGGATATCCCGGCACGTGGCTGCCCTGGTTAGGTTATTACTATCACAGACTATACTCACTCGACCGAAAACAAAAGAAAATTAAAAAAAGACTGATAACAGTGTAGCCACACGAATTAGTATTAGTATCAATTATCGTGCAGATATCGTACAAACTCCTTATCATTTATCAATCATAATGTTTAAAATGATAACCGACTACACCTAGATCACCCAGATTCTATTTCTTATTATCCGATCTGCGATATTATTACTATGAAATTTTCTGCTCGAACCCGCGGTCACATTGATTTCGTTTTGAGCCGCGTGACGTCACGGGTTTTGTTTACATGCCGAGTGAGCTATCAGTTTTCATATAATATTATAGTTCTGCCCGTTGTTAATATTATGATCTTTAGGCGTCGCGCCCGTGGATAAACGGTTTATTATCGGATTTTTACATTTAATTCGATTGCGCACTACGGTATTCGCACCCCAAATGTGTGTGTGTGTGCGTTGTGTTTGTGTACCTATAACGGTTTTCGCATATTATAAAAAAAAAAAAAAACAGAACAGAACATTCGGATTTGAAATTCGATCCGGGCCCAACACACGCGCTGACCGTGGTGAGCTGGTGGTGACACGCACCATTCGAAACGGGGTCCTTGTCGTTAATTAGCTACACTTTCGATTTTTCCTATTCGATAATAATAATATATACAAAAATGTTCCACACTGCAAAACTGCTTCCAGACAAATCCGTACGCACGTCAAACCAGACGTTTATCATTTTTTTTTTATATATACTCAAAATATTATATTATTATAGTATTTTTTTTATGTTCCCCGAAAATCTTTTGCCCGTTCTGCGCCGACAACAACCGTCTCGTCGTCGCCCGACCCGGCGTGCACAGTGCCTGCATAATAATATTTGTCATCGGTAGCTGCGCTATTATAGCTGTTGAGATGATGATTATCTAACGCGGTCCTATTGAGAAAACCCTATTATAATAATACTACTACTACAAAAATCTAGGTCTTGTTACATTATGACGTTATCGCACACCACGCGACGATAATGGAACGGACCGCGGCCTAAATACACACGGTTGCGTTGTACGAGTGTGTGAATGAGACGCTAGATCGATTTTCAATTATTGCAATCCATTGTCGACAGACGGTTGTTGATCGGGCGAGATCCAAAGGGCCGCTGCACGGTGTTTGCTTAGCACATCTCGAGCCCAGCAACGACTATAGGTACTGAAGTCTTTATTTATCTTATTCTACTCTTGTTACTGTAATGCTGTACGCATACCACGACTACGAGCTCAAAAATTATAACTGTGAATTAACCGAACGACAATCGTACTCCAGACGAATAATTACGGCACTTTGATTACCTTTACCTTGCCGGTTTTGAATAACTTCCTCGAGTATGGAAGCACTCTTAACGTGTACTCGGTGCAATGTCCCAGAAAAAACATTGAAAACCGCGATGGAAACGATCGACTTGCATTACTCAGTACTGATGAACTTTCATAATTAGTATCGCGGAGCCTATTTTACAGTGGTTACCAAAAAAACATTGAAATGTTTTTAAGTTTTGTTAAAAAATCAAGTAAACGAGTGAAGAAACCGAATTACTGGGCTAATAAATCGTGTAAGCAATTTAAGTAAATAAATCAAGCCAACGAGTAATTACAAGCAAATTAATTGAGTAAACGAGTATATGAATCTGATTAATAAATAAACGTGTAAATATGCCTAATAAATGAGTAAACAAATCGAGTAATTTAATCTAGTAAACGAGTATAGAAATTGAGTAAACAAGTAAGTAATTTAATCTAGTAAACAAAAACAGATCAAAAAACGAGAAACCGAGTTGATTAAACAAATCGAGTAAACGAGTACACAGATCGAGTAATTAAAACTAATAAATGAGTATAGAAAATGAGTAAACAAGTAAACAAATATAAAAAAACTAAACGAATAGAAAATGAATCTACTAGACGAATAAACAGAGTAAATTAGTAAAAATGTAGAGTAAACGAGTAATTAAATTGAGAAAATGAGTACATCGATAAAAACCTAAGCAACGAGTAAATAAAGCATACAACAATGTTTTAATAAGACAAATTTTGATTCTACTGAAGAAAAGTGTTAGACAAATTTTGAACTCATTCCCCACCTATAAAACATAGTATTCATGTTATGGGATTAATTATTATAATAAACAACTCTATGGTTATAGACCAGTAAGAAGTATTATGACTCTAGAGAAACCGATCGGTTAATGATATTAATTATCAATAAACACAGCTATAATTATCTTATAGTTTTTTTTAGGTTGTTATAAAAGACTTGATGGTTGTTGTAATGGTATTTTTGACAAAACAAGTACATACGCTAGATCTCCGTCCAACCTAAATTTCAAAGTCCAAAAACTAGATACCCAAAAGAGGAAAACAAAGAAAACGATTTTATCCGTACAGGGGAAAAGTGTAAATACTATTTATTTGTAGATTCGTGAGACATCTGTATTACCTGAGAATTAATTATGAATAAATAAATTAAACAATTTTTATTATTTTCTAGCGAATATTATTGTACCGCGTCCAAAGTTTAAACAAAAGCTAATATGAAGATATTTTTATGGATTGTGATTGGTAAAAAGAGAACTTCACATAAGCCGTTGGGCAATTTCTGAGCAATGAACATTTACCGTGACGCAAAATATCTCACGATACTATTTGTTGACCTTCAACTTAAACAAATAAGCATGTTAAAATATTTTTATAATGTGAATTTCCGATTGACCGATTGCAACGATCTAAACTTATTCTATGACTACATTCTAACTAGGTCGACAGTGGCAGATCATGTGATTTTCACAAGAATTTTTCGCAGGGTTTCCACAGCAAATACTTATAATATTATGTCCAATGATCTCCATCGGTGAAATTACTTAAGTACAGTTGGCCCTGACGTTCGACAACGTAATTCCTTGATTGCTGTTGATTTTTTTCCTTTTATGCCACTATTCCCAGCCTATCTAGTAATAATAATAATAATATACGCCAATACGGTAATGCAATATTCACAGAGTATTTGCGGAAAATAATAATAACATTGTTGTTGGCAAAGTACACGACAAAATATATTATTATAGTATCAATGGCCGAACAACACAATGTGGCATATGTGGCACATGAAATGTACATTAACGACGTTGATACAATAATAATTACACTTGTTAAGAAAACAAAAAAAAAATGTTTAAGTACATTATTCGGTGTATTGTTTTTACCTACTGTTTTTCTATAATATGTATTCTGTTATTGTATGTCCTCTCAAATGTCTGCCCTAGGCTTTGGCGCAGAAGCCGTTTTGGCTTGTGTTTAATTTTGTTCTTTTCAATTTCGAATAAGGGGAAATTCAGATTTTTTATGGACAGTCATAATAAAATCACACATATACGATCATTATTACAGTAGACGAACCCGCATGGCACATGATAGAGAGTGATTTTTGATCACAATAATAAGTGTTTGTTGAGTTAACATATAAATTACTTAATATTTTTGGATAATGTTTAATACTATTTCGTTTTATTGATTAAAGCTTTTTAAAAGTATACTCTCGTCAAAAGTAATAATATAGGTAAAACAAGTGACTAGTGATTATTATTTAATGTACACCTTAAAGTTTTGCGATAGTAGCTTTATGCGATTTTTAGTGGAAAAATATACTACATGGTTCATTCACAAACTCACTATTGGCATACAAACTGCGTTTAAAGGGTAGGAAATTAAAATGGTGTAGTTGACCGAACAGCCGAGAAAGACAAATGAAGAATTCCATATATGTATGTATTAGTTATTGCGTTAAAGTCACTAGCTCATAATTATTATGCGCCTTGGCAAAGAGTAATCTACCACCCAGCCAGCTCTGGACGAAAACAAATTCAATTAAAAACATATATTACAGGTAAGGACAAAAAGATCCACTGTCATAGAGACACATACAAACATTATATGTCGTTAAGAATTATTTTGTAATTTTAAAGAAAAGTTTAACAACAAATCCTAACTTTTTCTGATTTTGTTTAAATTCAAGTTTAGAATCTCGTTGCCCGATACACGTGACGGTTTTTACAATTATGTTGGTTCATATTGTCACCCTGTTTTATTTTATACGGCCATCACTTTTTAATTAATCAAAAATTAATGTTGAAAATTAATGCATAAGAAAACAATTAAATTAAAAAAAAAATCTATAACCTTTGTCTAATCAAATATTTTTATACATATACTGTAATTATTGTAAACTTAAAAAGGAAAAATGCCCACAGATGCGGTATCTCCACCCTATACACCCTATACCTTGTAAAAATTAAAAACGCCGAACAAATTATTTTTAAAAAAATGTCCTTTGTATCGAAGCGTTTAAATTTACAATTTATGAATTATCACTAGCAAGTCTTAACGAATTTTCAGTTTTTTAATTTATTGTTCTTTCTCTGCACTCTTATTAAAATTGATAAAGTACTTATATCAATGTTAGTAAACGAATTTTTAGAGACTTAAAATATATCAATCAAAGAAAAAAAGCAAAATAATCAAATAGTCAACTGTAGTAATATAATATAGTATGCTCACTTTTGTAAGCCCACATTTTGCCTGTCCTTAGCGCTGCCTGGAAGAGTTCCATGTGCGTGGCGCAATCGGCCGTCAACCTGGACGTGACGATGGGTTCGTACGGGTCCCAGAACCGAAACAGCTCTTCGGGTCGGGTCACGTTGCCGGCCGGCCATCCCCGGCGGTAGCTGGACGACTTGACGTATTCCGGAAACTTGACCACCCGTTGGACGACGGGACTGGTGCCGGCCGTCGCGGCGTCTTCACCGACGGCCGCCGAGTCCTCGACGCCGTCGTACTCTTCCACCGAAGACGTCTTGGCGGCCGACCCGCCGCCGGACGGCACCACGGCCGCCTTGTTCTCAATCAGCTCGTCGGGTAGTTGGCCTACGAGCGCGCCGGACACGTCGTCCCGGCCGCCGCGCTCCGAGTCCTCGAACACCACCGTGTCCTCCAGATCTTCGTACAGATCTCCCAGGCGACCGTCGTCGGCAGCGGCTGCGTCATCCTCGGCGCCGCTACCACCGCCGCCGCCGCCACTGACACCGTCACCACCGCCGCCATCCGCCGCGTCTCTCTCGCCCGAGTCGGCCGGTTCGTCCAAAGGGTCCGGGCCGACGGTTATGGCGGCCGGGTTGTCCGCCGCGGCCGTTGCGACCGTAGTGTTAAGGGGCTGCAACGATGCCGCGACGTCCGACGGTTCGTCGGCGGCCACTGTACCGTTGACAGCCACCGCCGCCGCCACCGTGGACGCCGTCGTCGTCGTCGTCGCGGCCACCGGACCGGCGGCGCCCCGGCACGAACGCAACGCCAACGCCAAAACGATCAACCGCCAACAAAACGCGTTCATAGTGTTTTCGATTTGTACAACAATCGATCAGTGGGTTTTAAATTCTACGTGTGTTGTTCAAATTGGACTGGTTGGTGAAAAAAAAAATTGTGAAATAACGATAACGACGCTAAGTATGCACCGGCATGTCGGCCAAAGTCAAACTGTTCGGTGCGGTTCGCATGAATGGACTAAAGACGGGCTACCGGCAATATTTTGTCTGTGTTTTGGGAAACTGCACGCGGCACGCGGTACGCAGAGGGAGGCGGCTTGCCCGAGTGGGGATGGCCAACAAGCGGTTTTCGCCAGTCATGCCCGAGCCCAAAGTCTGCCGTCAAGTGACGTGCCGCGACGATTGTAACAGAACTCTATTGTAACAAATAATAATATTATAATGCTAATAGTTTATGTGTACCTAAACATTAAAAGTCGGTGGATAATAAATATTTTACTGTAGTTGCCAAAACCAAAAAAAACCATCTTATTTTCTTATTGTTGAGCGATGAGTACCCAACTACCCATTGAGTATTGGAATTTTTTGCAAACCAAAAAAGAGTAAAATAATACCGTGATGACTTTATTTCTAAGAAATATTTAGAAAAACGATTATAATATGACATTGTCTTTAAAATGTTGTTCTCTTATATTTTAATTTTTGTTTTTGCTCTAAAACTATCATGGTCCGTGTAAAACCCATTCTGCGTAGTGAAGTTCTTTTGGAAAGAACTCTGTTGACTATTTATTTTGTTTGTTATTTCAACAACAAATTGCGAAAGTATTGTATGTTTGTAAGTATATTTTGGTCTAGTCCTCTAGTACTAGACCGTGTTGAAAATATACTAGCTTCTAAGTTGCATTTTACCCATTAATATCTAAATAAGTAACCACAAAATTAGCTTATGTTTAAATTTTAAATACTGAATAATAATATTCACTAGAAAATAGTAAAAATTGTTCAATTTATTTATTCTTAAATGATTTTCAAGATGTATTCTGTATTTCCAATCATAAAAATACTCGTTTTAACAATTTCGTTTTCAGCTTATATTAGTACTCTTTCCGATTTTGTAGTTCCTAATGATAATAATCATCGTTCATTAAATTAAACTTATACATTACTTACTGACAAGTTGCATTATCAATTTTCAGAGGTTTTTCTTATATTGGAAAAATGGTAATTATCTTCTTTAATTTTTAGGCTCCTTAGATTGGACAGACGTCCTTCATTCATGTAATAATATTGATATAAATGTTAAACAATTTTACTATCTCCTATTATTTGCCATCAACTTCTATTTCCAAAAAAAAAAATCCTAATTCGGATTTTGATTTGGAATCCTGTGACGACAGTGTCCAGTCCATAAACATATTGTAAAATACATGATTGTGCAACATTGTGCGTACTACTTATTACCTGTTCAAAAAGGGTTCTCGTTTAAAGTTACAGTAGACATCGTTTATCAGACTCATTATGGGACCAAAGCATTTGAGTCCATAAAGTGAATGAGTCAACAAGACGAAAGGTCTAAGAATACAAGGATTGAAAAAAATATATTATTCTTCAATGCGTTGAAAAAAATAAAACCTTTTTTATTGTTACAACATTTTATTTTATTTATTAAGTGTTTTTTTGAAACGATTGTTCTGTAAAAATAGAATAATTAAAGTTTCTAAAAGGTAAATCGCAAAATCAATCATTTAGAAAAACATTGTATTATTATACAGGGTTGAATAATATATTCAGTTGAGGTATTTAAGTTTGTTTAATATATTAATGGCAATGTAATGATGCGCATCATTAAATTTCATCTCAATGGGAATCAGCTTTTTCAGAATCAACAACTTTAAATGTACCGCCGAATCTTATAATTATTTGCTGTTATCTAATTATGGTTGTCAAGTATAATTATCATGCATTGTATGCTTTTGGGCTTGACGTGAAAATGTTCTAAATAAAAATAGTAGCTAATTTGTTTTTTCTTTGTCGTGACGGTAATTGCACATGTACTTAAGTCCAAGTACTTGCAAGCTTAACCGGTAAATGTGTATACTCGCTGATATTCATCATTTTCCCATCAAGACTACATTATTTTACTGTCGAGAGAAATAAAAAAAACAGATATGAACCTACATCAGTCATCTACTAATTTAGGTGATATCTTAGACAAAAAATGGATATTATTATAATGCTCTCTCCCTCTCATTACATAAAGAGATAAGAAGAATATATAGGGTAAAGATAAACGTGCTCTCCTGTAAAAAAGTTTTAAAAAAACAAATTTTATTTTACTTAAGGTTAACAAAGATATTACCAATAATAATGCAAAAATCATTTTATTATTACATTTTGTTTTCTTGTAAAACGATATAAAAAATCACTTTAGCCGTTTGAATTTTATCACTAATTATAAAATACAGAATATTATTGAAATATTAGTTGCGTTAATAATATTATATTTGAACGTGTTAAAGCTTTTATGGATTTAAATACGAGTATTATATCAAGAAAATAATAAAAGATTTTTTTTTAAAAATATCATGTAAAAAAAAATATATTTGTAAGTGGGTACTATTAACTCAAATAATTCTAATTTATTTTACATTGTTCAAAACCGTGTGTTAGTGAATGAGGCATTAACATTAAGATATGAACTATTTTAAATGTACTGGATCGTTAAAGTATATTAAATGTGCGTCCGGTATGACTGTCAATTGACGCTTAATTTAATTATGCACTGTAACCGTTCAAATTAATGGTTTTCGTTGAAAACATAATATTATAATATTACAAAGAACGCCATAATCGTTTTACGCGATGAATATTATATTAATCACTAAATGGCCAATAAAAACGCTATTGTTTTGCAATTTTCAAGAGCAAATCTATCCATAAATAGTGATAATTATCAACTACTGTATTAATTATAATCTGGTTTTAACGCTGGCGGTTTTTGTCCGTGTATTAAAAGTTTATGTAAAAAATAAAACCTTGGAAATCCTACTAAAAAAAAAAAAATAATAATAATAATAGTAAACCCTCGTGATATTATCGAAGTGGTACCGTTTGAAGATATTATACCACAAAACTCACAATATAATATTGTGTACCTATGAGTTTTCATTAATTACTCCTTTCACTGCATGATTTTTTTTTTGTTTGAAAAAAATATGTGCTTGTGAAAACAAATGTTTTGAGTTTTAGTTTCGCGGAAAACGCTAAATTAGTAAATTGTTCCAAATATGGAACATTGGGCAGTGAAGGGCTTAATATACTGTGGTAACGAAACATCCTGTGTAAAGAGCTTTATTATAGAATTATTATATTGGTTATACTGCCGGCGAATATAAATGGATCGTCCGAACTGAGAAAACTAATTGTTTAGAATTTTTATCGACATTTTACTAGTGATGACCTTATTTAGCGATTTTGCATCCTTGAACAATGAATTATTGGCTACTCGAGAAAAATGTCAAACTAGTCATCATATTTTACTTGTCGAAGAATATTAAAATAACGTTGTGGCGGTCTTTAACATGTCAATACATTTTTTTTTTCAAAATACAAATGACTTCAAGTGGCCATTCAAAACTTTGGGTTGAACTAATCAATTGTCTACAGGCACTGTACAACCAACCACAACTACATGTTATTGTTGATTTATTTATTATTGTTTTAAAATAAAATAAATAATTATTTTACGAATCCTTGTCGCATTAACAGTTACATACATTATGTTCAGTAATTTAGTTATTACTAAACAATACGATTTTAACAATAATCGGTTTTTAGATTACTGTCTGGGTATATTTTAAAAATGGTTAGTAAAAAAAAAAGAAGTACAACTATCCCAAAACGAGCTAAAAATGGTATTGTCAGTTGTATTCACTTTATCACAAAACTGAATGAATTTTTATGTAAATAAATTATTTCATATTACTATTCAAATGTTTAAATTATTTACTGTTTGATACGAATATAAAAAGTAATTTTGTATAGTACCAGGGTATTATTTCGAGGTCTTTCAATTTTAGCCAAGTACTTTCAAAGCGATGCATTGACCTGTCGTTTTTTTTTAAATTTTCAAATTAAAGTGTAACACTATAATATATATATACTGGTTCGGACTTTACGATCATTCATCTTTGACTCGACCTAACAATTAATTTGATTTCGTCGGTACGACGAAGATGTTTAGGACAAAAAAAATAGCATACACAAATATAATTACGGGGCGTCGAAGCAAAATAACGCATTAGTAGGTGTATTAGGGAATTCGAGGATTTCCCTGAACGATTTGGACAAATTACACTATAAACCATCATCATCCCGGGGTTATCCACCTCAACGGTACGCCGGGATATTTAACTTAATCTGGTTAATGTATACCTAATAAAACGCTTTTGGACTATAATGAGACTTGGAGTCGAACTGAGCCCGTTATTGTTGTTCGAGTCCCGAAGCCCAAAGCACAGACTAGCATATGAAAACAGATAGCTCACTCGGCCGAAAACAACGGACATTTTAGCCTAAGGGAACCCAGTAAGAGGAAACTTCAGATAGGCATTCATATATAAAACAATTAATTATGTTGAATATAGGAAAAGCATCATATAGATAATTAATTGAAGGATGTCGCTTTGGATAGAGAAAAATGAAAGACTATATTTTCATCAGTAAACCAATCCACGGATTAAAAAAAAACTGCCTATAATATTGGCACAGATTAGATAATAATTTATTTCTATCTAATCTGTAATATTATTATGAAATTTTATGCTCGACTCTGTGGTCACACTGATTTCATTTTGAGTCATGTTTACATGCCAAGTGAGCTATCCGTTTTCATAATACAGTCTGTGCCCAAAGATTGCGGTGACCACCAAACTACAAATAATAATAATATTACTATATATATATATGCAAATATAATAATAACTAATTATTTCTACGTAAACCGTATGGTAATCAATTGTTTTGTTAAATTATAATATTATACGAGTCGAGGTCACGTTTTGAAACG